ATTGTAGAGATGAGGTCTCGCTGCCCAGGCGGGTCTCGAGCCCGCGGACTCAGGCAATCTACTCACCTCAGCCTCCCAAAGGCGCGGGATTACAGGCTGAGCCACCAAGCCTGGCTCAGTTGTAATTCTTGACATGGAACATTCCGGACAGTGCAGCCTTATGCTACAGAGTGATGGTACTGTGGGAGGTGACAGGTGCTCCCCACTCCTTACTCAAGCAGCTCAGAATCAGAAGGAACAGATGTTCTTTTTTTCTTCTTCTTCTTTGGAGACAGAGTCTTGCTCTGCCACCCAGACTGGAGTGCAGTGGTGTGATCATAGCTCACTACAGCCTTCAATTCCTGGGTTCAAGCAATTCTCCTGCCTCAGCCTCCCAAGTATCCGAGACTTACAAGCATGCTGCCATGCCTGGCTGGTTTTTTAAATTTTCTGTAGAGGTGGGCTCTTCCTATGTTGCCCAGGCTGGTCTCAAATTCCTGGCCTCAAGTGATCCTCCTGCCTTGGCCTCCCAAAGCACTGAGATTACAGGCATGAGCTACTGCGCCCAGCTGAACAGTTGCTCTTTTTTTTTTTTGAGTTCAAGTCTCACTCTGTCGCCTAGACTGGAGTGCAGTGGCCGCTCCCGGCCACCGCAGCCTCGCCTGCTGGGCGCCGGCAATCCTTCCACCTCAGCCTTCCAAGTAGCTGGAACTACAGGTGCGCACTACCATGCCCAGCTAATTTTTGATTTATTGCAGAGATGAGGTCTCGCCAAGTTGCCCAGGTGGGTCTCGAACCCGCGGGCTCAGGCAATCTGCTCACCTTGGCCTCCCAAAGTGCTGGGATTACAGGCTGAGCCACCGAACCCGGCCAACGGTTGCTCTTTTTAAGTACATGAACATTTCTAGAACTTGGCCTAACCAAGCCATGGGGAGACCTCAGTTGGTCAGAGACTGTGTAGATGAACATTCAAGCAGGTGTGAAAACAGTCAGAAAGTGAGGACTGAGGACCACTTCTAAGCAACTCAGGAGACAGGAAGCAAATCCTGTGGTAATTAGGTGGCCCAATCCTTTCCTCACCCTGTACAGCTCAGGCCACCCCATGTCTTGTCCTGCTTCCCAAATCCCCTCCCCTGCAGCCCTCCACCCCGTCCTGTCTCCTCCTGCTCCCCCTCGTGGGGCCTGGGTGATCTGAGCGGTCAGTGGACCACGCTCCTGC